CATGTTTACATTATAAAACCCCAATAAAGATTCAGCAGAAAGACTTGTGTGGGTTTCCTGGCTAGGAAGGTGAAAGGAGGTAATTGTGTCCTGATTCTGTGAGATACACTGGGATCCTCTGCACTGGGATAACTCCCAGTTCTTGCCCTGTAGCTCCATCTGACTGGTTCTCATTGGTATCCTTTATGGTACATCTATGATCCTAAGTATAGTGCTTTCCCTGCGGCACTAGATTGTGAGTCATTCTAGCAAGTTAGCAAATGTATATGGGTCATGAGACTCAATCTGTATTTAGTTTATTAAAAGTGCAAGTGGTGTAGGGACCTCCTGACTTGTGGTTGGCATCTGAAATAAGAATGGTCTTGTTGGGGAATATGTACTCTGAAGTGCACACTAACTCTGTGTTGTTAGTGCCAGAACTGCATTTCAGTGTTGCAACAAACATTTTGAAAAACTCTTTGGTAATACCCATTAAAATTTACGCATATTCTATGACAAAGGAATTTAATTCCTTGATAGGTACCTCAGAGAAATAACTGCTGTATTCAACAAATCACATGCTTATATATGTTTATAGTCTCTTATTCATAAAAATGCAGACAAAAAACATCCCAAATGCTCATCAGCAGTTCAGCAGTAGAATTACAATCGTAGTATGGTCACGCAATGGAATGCTGTGCCGCAGTGTAATGTAAAACCTAGCATTATGTGAAAGAAGCCAGGTACAAAAGAGTACATTCTATGTAATTACTTTTTTAACAAAGTACAAAATTGAGCAAAATAATACGTGGTGACATCTCATAATGGTGGTTACTTCTGGAAAGAATTGACTTGGCGCAAGACTGGGAGCTCTCGACATTGCTCAAAACATTCTGTGTCCTCACTGTGATGGTAGCAACATGGGGATAGGTGTATGGTTAAAAAATTTGACAAAGGACACACTTAGAAGTTCAGCACTTTTGTGTGAGTAAGTTGTATGTATCCATTAGGAAAAGAGAAAGGAAAAAAATTGCATATTTTTCAAATGGACAAATTTGTATGGGGATGAGATTTTTAGGGATTTTTTAAATTCATGTTTCCTAATGTATGATTACAGGTAATACAACCAAATAATTCTATTTACCCAAAATTGATATAATAGAATCTCCATTTACTGTCACCTGCTACTAGTCACAAATTTCCATACGTACCCATATTTGGCAAATTGTGGGTCATGAGAACCCACAAATTTGTAGCCAGTTGAAGTCTGTTACCAAGCTTAATCATGGCACCAGAGAGTCAGGGGACAGTATGGAAGACTCGGGATAGCTGGCTCAGCCACTTAGTAGTTGGATGAAATTGGACAAAGGACAAAAAGAACTCTCAGTAAGTTAGGAGACAAATAATATGTACAAACACCAAACACACAGTGAATGTATTCTGTGAGCGTAACCTTTAGAATTATTGTTAGTGGTCATTATTATATAGAAAGATCAGCTGGAAGAGAAAAGCTTTGAATTTCCAGACTTCTAAACTTTCTGGCATTTAAGTTCTTATTCTTTGATTCAAAAACTGAAAGCCTCGTAAATAATAGGGCACAGGGAGAGGAGGTCTCCTGGAGCAGGAAATGTAAACTCAGGGTTAAGCTCTTCCTCCTGACAATGCGACAGGCATCCTAGAACCTGTTGCCTCTCAGACCTGCCCCATGCATGCTTATTTATAAATCCATTTAGCAGAAAGCCCAGAGGGAAGGCATGAAAACCTAGTCCTTAGATAGAAATGCAAAGGTCCTTCAGCCTGAAGTGAAGAAAAACATATTCATTTGGCTTTAAATAAGGTATTGGCTGAGTTTGAAATGGAATTTTAGTCTAGAGTTTGGGTGAGCATATCAATAGGTAGTGTATCCTCCTGCCCCTTTGTTGTATTGAGGAGTCAGTAGATTTAGAAATTTGACATTTCAAGATACCATAATTCAGAAATTAGACAAATATGTCATAAGATACCATGTGGATTTTTGCTTTGTCTTTAGTGTCTGATTCAACACTGCATGGCTTGTGGCTTAGGTAAGATGTGTCTGAAGTTTTTCATGAACTGATTTTCATTTTAGTTTAGTGTTTATTATCTCACAGAAACCTTTACATTTTTTTCATACTTTTTAAATGATTTTCTGTTCTCAAACCCCTATTTACAAACATTGGATAATGATGCTAAATTTAAAAACAAACCAAATAGCAGAAGCTTTGGCTGTGTAGTTATAGAAATCATACATTAAATCATTTTTATCATAGGCTATCTCAGACATTTTAATATTCTGTTGTGCAGTATTATTGTATGGGATAGTACCAAATTTTCTACAACTCATTTACCCCATGAACCTTTCTATTTTTTTGCTTACCACACACACTGGTCTCTCTTGAGGCTAATTTTATAGTAAAACTGCAAGTGATAATATGCACACACATAAAAAGGTGGTATTGTTTTGACAAGACAGATCTATTGGCTTATGGGGAGAAAAATCAACATGTATGACCTTCCTTGTAAGCAAAATGCTTATAATGATAAATAATTATAAGTTTAGGTGAAATAATCAAAGTGACTGTTCCTTTGTTCCCAGGTTGGATAGTAGATGCTACTTTTGGTTACACAGCAGGTAGTATCATTTAATTAAGTATTTAACAGTGAAACTGGTTATTATTTAGACTTTGTGCATTCATAATTACTCACTGTAAATGGACATATGTGTGAGATTATTAATTTTCATTGATAAAGGTGGAAACTTCTATCATTTTTTGTGCTGTTTTCCTAAAATGATACAAGATAATTACTTTTGGTGATATACTTATGATTTGTGAAATCCATCTTTAAAATATAATTCAGTTAAGTGTTTTATTTTTCTGCAGTAGACTGGGAAATAAAATTGTCTCTGAAGAAGAAAAAAACCACTTTGCATTTTGAAATCTGATTTTATAGCTACAGTGATCAGAGCATCATTCAATTCAAACAAAAGAATTTAATCTAGAGAATATGTCTCATTTGCATGAAGTGTCTGGTTCCAAAATGCCTCCTACACAAATTTGGATTGAATGTACTTTCTGCTTCCCCAGTGTTATTGAAAGACCAAAATAATACCCTGCTCACCAATATGTGATAAAAATCCAACACTGGTATTTTCAGAGAGCATCTTTGATATAAATATATAGCCCATTATATTTCAATGTAAGAGAACTTTAATATTCCTTAATGGGTTGCAGGCATAATTCACCTTTTCCACTGAAAGACACACACCTTGTTTATGCACAGGCAACAGAACATGACAAGGCAAGCCCTTCTTGATTCGTGACCTCTTTCTGCTTTTAATTTTTCTTGCAGCTGGTGACTGAAGTGACAATTATCTCTGTGGTTTTTGTTGTAGAAACTTGTGATGGTATTCTGAAAGTGATGTAAGATTGACCTTGGTGGGGAGGAGAATGAGAACTACTGGAACAAGCCAGATTCACACATTTGGGTGACCACTGGCTGTCTCAAGCTCCCTGTATTGTTAGCACTGGTTCTGTGGAAATGGGGGTGAGCACAAATCAAGGAAAGTTTGGAAATCTGTCTGGCATGAGAAATTGGCAGTACACATAAAGAATAATCCTATAGCAGGCCCCGTGGCCTTTCACACTACTGTCCTTTATCAAGTCCACGGTAAGTAAAGAGATACCATAATTTAAAATTCCTTTTTAGTGTTTGGACTGAGATGTTGAGTTGAATTTAAGAATTAGATTAGATTAAAACTTGAAAAGATCATAGAACTTGCTGCCAACAGTTCAAATGAGTGGGGTACCAAATGGTGAGTATAGGAATGAGAGGTTCTTGTTGACCCTGCTATTCACATATATTGCATTAGGAAAAACATGATGGCCAACACTGATTTCCCACTGCACACAAAATGACCATGTCAAGTACATTTCACAAATTATCACATGTAAACCTCACCACAAGTTTAAGGGATGTATATAGGTGATCAAAGAGGGTAAAAAAGCAGATCAAAACTTTGTTCTCATTCTAATAGTTGGGAACCACTGATGTGAACCAGAGGACAAAGCTGACGAGGGAACTTGAAGTTTTATCCGAGATCTTATGTTTGTTTGTTGCTTGTCCTGTCCTGGAAAGGGATGAAGAGAGTTAATTGACGTCAGGCCCAAACTCTCTTGTATCCCCCCAAATAAGCCCAAGAATATTGGTATATATTAGATGGTCAATAAATGTCACTGAATGACTCAACAGTTCTCTGTATATATCAATTTTTAGAAAGGAGGATTTATATATATATATATATATATTTTTTTTTTTAAAAGAGTACTGGGGATTGAACCCAAGGCTTCACACATGCCAGGTTAGCACCCTACAACTTGAGCCATACCCCATGCTTTTTGTTTACATTTTTATTTTTGTATTTTTTCTTTAACTTTGCCAGGTTGGCCTCTGGAACTCTCAATTTTTCTGCCTTTGTCTCTGGAATAGCTGGGATCACAGGCGTGTGTCACCACACTCAGCTTTATATACTGTATTTTTAGAGTTTAAAAGGTACCAAATATAACATAAGGTTGAAGTTGGATAATGGCATATAATTTATTTTCATAGTTGCCCAACTGACCAAATCTATTTTGAAGTCTGTTTTTGGGCAGTGGTTTAGATACACTACTGTGTTAGCCTGTTGGCATTAGCAAGATTTGATAAACCTTTAATTATCCTGAAGGATTATCAAACTGCAACAATTGTTGATCCTACATGAAAAAAAGCACTTAGTATGCAGACTGTAATGGGTACATTTATCATTCCCTTATCATACCGAACTTCAGGCTTATTATCTATTTTCTAAGAAAGTAGAAATGCCTTTTCATAGAATAAAAATGCTCTTTATAATGTGAGCAGTCTATCGAAGCTGTACAGATTGGCTCTTTCATGAAACAGGCAACATTCCAGTGAAACTGACAAGCTTTATTTCTATTTGTTGTGTTTTTTTTTTCTCATTACAGATGGACCCGATTCAGAAAGCTGTAATAAATCACACATTTGGGGTTCCTCTTCCTCATCGAAGAAAGCAAATCATATCATGCAACATTTGTCAGTTGAGATTTAATTCTGATGTAAGTTTATCATTCAGTATTCACTTTAAAAATGTATTATGTGGTTCTAATCTTGCAGAACTAAAGATTTCTTAAACATTTTTCTCTGGGAACTGGGCATGTCAAAATTCAAAGGTAGCATTTAACTCTGTGCTTTGATTTTAAAGTTTATTACATCATGTTTGGTTATTTACTGCAGAAAAAGTGTATAGTCATATATTTACAGCTTAATGGTTTGTCTTTAGCGTCTTGGGACTGCTAAATGTAGGTACTATACTTTGAGGAATAGTCAAATCTAGGGTTAGTCAAGTTTTTCATAAATTATACCTCTGAAATAAGATAGACACCAACTCATAGTCCAAGACCAAGTTTTGGGCTTTGTAAACTCTCTTTGCCTGCTGTTGTGGCCCTCAGTTCCAGATCAGGCCTGCATCCTCAATTCCATTTATTCTCAAGCTCTCTGGAGTTTTAGCAATTTAACACGAAATCCTAAAGACCTCAAATCTTAGAAGACTTAAAAGAATAAAATAAACTGGAGAAAATGATGGAAGAGAAGCATGTGTCAACCTGACCAGCAATTTGCAAGTTATTCAGGAGTTTATTCACACCATTTGTGAGGATCAGGTGAACTCTGCATGTATCACAGTGATACCAATTTTAACTAGTGGCCAATATGAAAGATCTTTGTGACATTGTTCCCACCTATATTCCTGCTTTGGTGGCAGTTGGTCCTGAGAGATACAGAAGAGAAGGGAATGTTGGTTTTCAAGGAGTAGGAACTGGACTTTGTTCAGACTGTGGGCAAATGGAGGCCCTATGTTATCAATGTGGAATCCTCTAAGATGTAATGACCAGATTCTAAGTTGGTAATGTGGACTCCATAGAATAGTAAACCTTGCAGTATTTCATATTCACAGTCAAGTAAGCCTCTTGGATGTTCTGGTAATACACATAGTATAGGAAATAATCAGGTATAGGGAACAGATGTGGCATAAACAAAGTGGCTTGTTTCTTTTGTGAGAACATTTCCTTTTGTAAATGAATTGCTACTGTCTTAGACACTCAGCCTTCAAAGGCAATCCAATATTCTTTCTCTTTGCTTAAAAAGGAGAAGATTAACTGGATAGTACCTATCTTAGTTCATTTAGGCTGCTATAGCAAAATATCATAAGCAGAGTTCCTTATAAACCATAGAAATGTACTTCCCATCATTTTGGATGCTGAGAAATACAAGATGGAAGCTCTGGCAGTTTTGGTGTCTGGAAAGGGCCTGCTGTTTGGTTTATAGATGGTGCACTTTTCCTGTGTTGCACATAGTGGAAGGGGTGGAGGAGTTCCTTTTGGCCTGTTGTATAAGGGCACCAGTCTCATCCATGAAGGCTCTACCTTCATAAAATACCAGTTCCCAAATGACCTAGCTCCTCATACCCTCACCCTGGGGGTTAGAATTTCAACACAAGAGTTTGCCGGGAGTGTAAACAATCGAGACCACAGCCTCACTTGAATAGTTTCAGTTGCTTAAAAAGAGACACCAAAGATACACCATTTTATTTGAATGGACTTTTTTAGTATTGTAGACTTTTACATTAAAAAGTTTTTTGAATACTGAAAAACTTGATTTGGACTTTAAGTTTATCATAGGATTGTTTAATTAATTAAACATAAAGTATTTTCAAATCATGATTGTTACATAATAATCTCTTCCAAATGCTAGTACTAAAGCTAATAGTTAGAACTTCGATAATTTCTGAATATTAAATGAACACCAATATATTCCCAAAATTGTTATTTTAAGTGGCTCCTTCTTAGTTCTTTTTTCCTTAAATTGTATTGCTATTTCACTTTGATCAGACAAAGATGCAGAAGTCTCCCAGAAGCCATGTTGCCAGCTTCTTGCATATATAGTAATAGAGCTATTTTAAATATCTCCTCCTGCCAACAATTTCACAATGGAAACATTGCATTAAGAAAAATTCTTGTAAACCAGGAGCCAGAAAACTTTCAGGTCATGGGCGCCAGTCTCCCACTGAGTACAGGAATTCCACCTGTCATATCCTGACTGAATCATTAGGTTCATCATTCCCACTGATGGGCCACTCTCCATTTCCAGACAGTGGTTCCATTTTTTTGAGTATTTCTAATCTTGTAGACTGATATCAAAGTTATGATTTGAAACTAGAAATACTGTCATAAATGTTTTAGTTTAACATATATATTTATATGTATTTCTATTAATATTAACCTAAAAACATCAATGTATAATTATTGCAGAACTAAAATACAGTAGTGGAAACTCACAGATTTAAAAAACGTCCTTGTACCTTTATGATGTCAATAAGAGGTGCAAATGTCCTGGAAATAATAGATTTCCTTACTTATTGACCAGTCACATCTGTAATATTAATTTTAGAAAATATTTAGATACTGAACACCAAGATCAATTATTTATCAATTGATTCATATATAAGATGATCCCTATATAAACAAAAAATCAGTGGAGCACTGGTGACTTATGCCTGTAATCCTAGCTTAAATCAGAAGGTTTACCATTCCTGGCCAGCTCCAGGAAAAAGTTAGCAAGACCCTTTCCCAACTAATTGGACTCAGTGGCATGTACTGTCATCTCAGCTATAGGGAGGATGAGATCAGGAGGATCACAGTTCCAGGCCAGCCCAAGCAAAAAAAGTTCATGAGACCCCCATCTCAATAGAAAACTTCTGGGTGTGATGGTGCATGCTTGTCATCCCTGCAACAGTGAAAAGCCTAAATAGGAGGATCATTGTCCAGGCCAGCCTAAGCAGAAAGCAAGACCCTATCTCCAAAATCAGCAACTAGGTTTGGAAGCATGGCTCAAGCAGTAGACAGCTTGCCTAGCAAGTGGGAAGTACTGAGTTCAAATCCCAGTATAACCAAATGAAATAAAAAAGAAGGAAAAGAAAAATCAAAATAAAATGTACATATACATCATATTAGACTATTTTAATCCTAAATCTCAATACTTTTGTTCTTTCCAGGTAAATTTGGATTTTGCCTTCTTGTTTTCCTTTTTAAAACTAGAGTAGTTCTGGAAAAACAACACTGTAGTTTAGTCATATGCTTGGTTGAATCTTCTATCATGTAGGAAAGTATTTTTGCTTTATGAACCTTTTTATATTTCAAAGCTTCTTCCCCTTCCAAAGAAAATAATAGCTTGTAGTTCTTTTCATCTCTGGATTATGAAAATTCAATTTCCTTTCCCTCAAGCTTTTATTTATTTTTTTAACCCTTTATATTGTAAATTATGTAGTTTGGTGTTTTGCCATACCTGTTTCCTGTTAGAGGTATGTTACAGTTTCCATTGTGGGGCCTAGAAAGCTTTTTTGATGTCATAAATTGGATTACATGCATTTAATCAGATTGCCTTCTTCTGTTATAGACTTTTCCTGAGTAAAAATCTTTTTGACATTTATATGAAACATACATAGGATTATGAAAACGTCTTCCCATTAAAGACTGTAAGGTTGTAATTTGTCCAATTATTTTATCAACATATTCAAATAAGCATAAATTACCATATGGCCTGGGTGAGGTGCTAAGTATACTTTTGAAAGACAATTTACAGCAGGTCCAACAGGAATATAAGATTATTTATTACAAGTAGTAGAAAATGAATATCCAATGTTTGTTTATAGAAAATGAAATAAGATCTCAGGCACCAAAGTAAGGAATATAAAATCTAAGTTTTATTATAAAGTCCAAACAATAGAATTTTATAACATGCTAGAGGCAGAAAGGACTTTTTACTTATTTTACACACAGAAGCTGGGATGCAGATAGCATGGGAGATTTGTAGGAGGCCATGTGGCCTGTAGCTCACGGGCAGGGACAACATTCATTTTTCCACTGTCAAAGCCTCGGCTGGTCAAGATAGTGTAGCAATGCATTCTTAAATTTCTGTGGATGCTACAGCAGTGGTGTAGATGAAGATTTTTACATTTCCTGCTTAGTCAGCTGTCCAGGAGAGAGGATGGCTTCATGGTTTTCTTCCTTAAAGGAACTTAATGGGTGGGGTCAAAGCTGGAAGTTCATTGGCAAGGCCTCATCCACCCACAATCTCTCAAATACATCACTCATACTCACTCTCACCATTCCAACATAAATACGTTGAAAGTTTAAATATAGATTCAAGTGACTGAACAATAATACAGTAACAATGCGTCCTTGATGACTTGAGACTATAAAGCTAGGATTATTATTATTTCAAGGATACTGATAAACAAGAAAGGCAAACAACTGTAGAAGATAACATTGCTTGGAAACCTCTTATCCTTTAAAAGGGAGGATGTTGGAATCATCACCAATGTAATTGATAAGTTTTCCAGTGGCATTGTTTCCAGTCAGTATTGGTGTCTCCAATCATTATTATTGTTCTGCATTTTTGAACCCAGAAATGTAGTGAAACTTGGCATTATATTTGTATTTAATTCACATCTACTCATTCCTACCATCCATAACCAAGTAGCTCAATATAAGGAAAATGATGATAGTATTTTTTGATTTCCAAATGACCAAATCAGTGAAGTACACATTCTTCATACCATGTCCTAAGACATCTTTTTAACATTACAACCAATATTATTTTTGGGACTGATGTTTACAGAAAATACTATTGAAACAAAGCATAATGGTATTTGTATTAGAAAGAACTAAACCCTTACTGCTTCCTACCTTATTTTCTAAATTTCCTTTATAAGCATGCTTGAATTTTTTTTTAAAGGAAAAAGGAATCATGGCACCTATTATCTTCTTATAGGTTTAAAATTGCATGTTTCTTCTCATATTATAAATTCCATTCTTTAAGGTCAGTTGCAATTTTCTAAATATTTCCTGCCTACTTCTGGGAGTGCGTACTGTCTAAAAATATGCCCATGAGAGTACATTGGTATTATTAGTCTCTCATTGTGATTTCAGCATTTTATTTAATATCCTAGGGGAAAGGTTACTAACACTCTATGCATGCAGTATGTGCATTTAATATCAAA